AATTATATAATTTACAAAATATATATTTTTTTAGATACTTCATTTAATAAATAACAATTTTATTTTTATAAATAATTTTTAGATAAATATTAAAAATTAAATTAATAATTTTGTGAAATAAATATTATTTTTTATATTTTTAATTTATGAATTAATAAAAAAAAATTTAAATTTTATTTAAAAAAAAAAATTATCAATAAAAGTTACATAAATATATGCAAAAAATATAAATAAAATTATTCTTTTTTTATAATTTATCTATAAAAAATAATTTATATATAAATATTTAATAATCAACTTAATCTTTTTTATTTATTAGTTTTAATCTCTGTATTATTAATAATTTTTTTTACACTCTCAATTTTTTAATCACCTTTTTTAGTTGTTTATTTATCATTCATTATATTATCATAAGTACCTGACTCATACGCATCCCTTAGCAAATTTTCAGCATCTTCAAATATTTCTTATTACATTTAAAGTTATTTAGCATCATATACAACTGACTTAATATCCGCATATTCCTCATCTTAATAAAGTGCATCTTATAATCTTTAATTTTCCTACATTAAATATTAAGTTCTAAACCTTAAATTGGTAATAATAGATATACAATTATCATCTATATTAGCTTTTTATTTCCAATAGTCTAATTGTTCACTTTAAAGGTTGATTTTTTAGATTAAGGCTTTAGTTTATTCTTCTTTTTCTTCCACTTCATCATTTATTCGGCTAAAATCTTTCATTTTGGTTTGTTATTCAAATGCATATATTCTAGCATGATGTGCAACTTTTTTAATTTTTTTTTTTTTTTTAAAATTTTTTTTTTTTTTTTTTTTTTTTTTTTTTAATAAAAAAATAAATATATATTTTTCATACAATTTATTTACTTGTTTCATCTCTTAATTTATTATAATCAGCTTAATAATTGAGTATATTTTTATGCTTGTATTAAAGGTGAAAAACCTAATTGCTGGTTTCTTTTTGAAGCAGTTCTATTCTTTCTTCTAAATAAGCTAAACGACCTAATTAGTTAATAATTAATTACTATTTTTCTTATTTATTCATTTGTTCGATTGAAGCTTCTGTTTTGAACTATGTTCTATTTATTTCTCGTAGTAATTCATCATTTTTATTTACATTTTCTAAATATACACTATGTCTGCTATCTATATCTTACATTCTTGGTCTAAATTATTTATATGGCTGTATTTCTATTTACTCTTTTTCTTCTTCTTTATTTATACTCGCTTCAGTCATATTAAAACGTTAGTTTTCTTTTTATTAATAAGGTTATTATTATTATAAATATTAAGAATGATTATTATTGCTTTTTCTTAATGAATCTTACATTTGCTAATTTTCTGATTAGGGGTAAATGTAGTTATTATATTTGTTTGATGAGGGACGAAAACGGTCAACAGGAGGAAAATGTTATTATTCATAGTATTATGAAGGCTAATTTTAATGTAAGTTTTATGATTATTCGTTTCCCATTTTATTTTATTTTTTTTTATATTTTTAAATGTTAAAGTTTTTTAAAAATTTATATATATTTTGATATTTTGATTATATGTTATTTTTTTTCTCATTTAAAATAGTGTATATATAGTTAATTAAAATATATATATATATATATATATATATTATAATATAGAATATATATTAATAATTATATATATATATTAAAATATATATATATATATTTATATATATAATATTTTTTTATATAAAAATTTAAATATGAAACAAAAATTCGGTATATATAGATAAATTATTAAAGTACTCTATTTTTATTTTTTTATAAATATCAATTTTATTTTATATATATACATTTTTTTTTTAAATAAGAATATTTATTCAAATTATAAATATATTCCTGACTTAAAATTAACTTTAATTGAATTAGTTAAGTTTAATATAAAAAATTACAATTAATTTGTACTTGATGATATAAATAAACTATAAGAAAAAATAAATTAAATATATATAGATATTTATTAAAATAGTTAGTAATTTAAATATATAGTTTAAAAAAATAGCCATTAAGACATTTACATATACAAAAACTTAATTTCTTTAGAAAATTATTATTAAAATAAATAATAAGATGAATATGATTAGCTATTTAATATTATAATGAATTACATTTTTATTAAATATGATAAAAAATTTTTCTTTCATACGAAAAATAAAAAATAAATAATTAAATCTTTTGAAGAAAAATTAACAAAAATACCTAATTTAAAAATGAGATTTCCTAAAATAGAAGAAATTAAATGATTTTTTTATTTTTCTAAATATAATTATTTATTTTAATATATATATTTTTTTTATTTAATTTAATTTTATTTTTAAACTAAAAATAATATTATATGCATATTTATTTTTATGCTAATTTTATATAATATTTTTTTTAAAAAAAAAAAATCGACAACTGCAGGATTCGAACCTGCGCGGGTAAACCCAAAAGATTTCTAGTCTTCCTCCTTAACCACTCGGACAAATTGTCTATATTAAAATAATTAAATAACTAAAATAATTTAAATAAAGTTTAGTTATTTAATTTTTAAACAATATATAAATAATAAAATAATTTAGCATTTTTTATATATATATAAATAAAATATTTGAATATATAAATAATAAAATTAATATAAAAATTAGTTTAAAAAAAATATTATTATTTTTTAAGTTTTAATTTTTAAACTTATATTTATATTTAAAATCATATAAAAAATAATAAGTTATTATTTTTTATGTATATTTATGAAAATAAAATTATTTTCTTTTTGTGAATATTCTTAGATATTATTATATTTAATAAAATCTCAAAATTAATAATAATATAAAATACTATTTTAAAATTTTAAAGATTTAAAAAAATTAAATAATATTTAAAAATACATTTTTAATATTTATAAAATTTATATAAAGCATATAAATATTTTTATTTATATTTTTTTATTTTTTCAAGTTTTATTTACTTTTTGGTGTGTAAAATTTTTTTAATATTTTTATTTTTATGATTTAAGCATTTTTTTTAAATAATTTTATTTTTTAAAAAAAAATAATAATAAAAGTTAAATTTTAGCAAAAATTTAATTTTGCCGCTTTTATAATAATATATTTTATTAATATATTTAAATTTAAAAAATATATAAAAGATATCAAACTGATGCTATATAACGTATGTTATACTATTATATATTAATGGTTAATATAAATATAAAATAACATATATAAATTAATAGAAAAATAACAATAAATAAATATATAAATAAAATAACTAAAAATGTATTCTTATTAAAACCTTGACTATTTCTGTACAAACTCCGAATTAGAATAATAGTAATCTTATAGTTTTTACCATAATACAGACTAAAATTATAAAAATTAAGATTTTTTCTCATTATAAATTGATTTGGAAAAATTATTAACAGAAAAAGAAATACAAAGTGATATTGAAATTAATAATGAAATATATTAATAATTTAAGAATTTATAATAATATTAATAAGATCATGAACAAGAAATTAATAAACTAGAATAATGCTTTAAATAATAAAATGCTTAAATAATATAATAAAAAAAAGAAAAAAAAATATAAAATAATAAACAAAAGATACATTTGTAAAAAAACAAAGAAAATCTTTTAATTTCTAACTTTTAATTAATAAAAATGATTTTTCTTTAAATAAAATAATAAAACATATTTAAGAAAAATTAAGTTCTCTTTAAGAATTTCTTAATAAAAATAATGAAGAATTATAAATAAAATATCATTGGAATAAACTAGAATAATATAATTATTTTTAGTTCTTTTTTAATAACTTATATCTTATTATTGATGAAAACTAAAAAAATAGATCTGAATAAAAAATATTTGTAAAAATGAGTGAATTTATTAGAACTAAAAATCCTAATTAATGTAGATCTCATCATTAAAAATATTTATAAACATGTATTAAATATTTAAAAAAGAAGTAATGATACTAATAAATATATATTAAATAATTTTTTTGATTACTTGTACATTAAAATATATAAAATTTATATATTATATATTAAATATATATTTTATTTTATTTCTTTAAATTAATGTATATTATTATTTATATTAATATTAATAAATGTCTTAAATTTTTAATTATCTTTCATTTTATTTATTTTATAATTTTTTTTATTTTTTTTTATTTTTTATTAAAGTAATTATTTTTTATTTATTTTTTTAAATATACAAACTTTATAATAAAATAAAAATTGATTTCAAGTTTTAATTTAATATGCTAATTATTGTTTTAAATTAAATTTAATTATGTAATGTATATATAATTATTTTAAATTAATATATTATAACAACTATTATAATATTTATTAAATTATTTTCTTATATATTATTTAATAATATTTTTATTTATTATAACTAAAATTTAAAATTTAATATATAAAAAAAATTTAAATAATAAATTTTTATATCTTATATATATTTATTTTATTATTATATAAAATATTTTTTATTTAAAAGTTTATTTTAAATACAAGCATATAATCATTACAAAAAATGTATATTATATTAATAAATAACTAATATTATTTTTTTAAAATATATATATATATATAATTTTTTTTTTTTATATATTTATTATTTTTTATATTTTCGTTTTTAAGAAAATCCGTTTTTGACATTTTATAAAGAAATAATTTTTACGTTTCTTGTTATATATGTATTTTTTTGTTAATAAAATAAAATATTAAATAAGAAAAATAATCTAAATATTAATTGTTTATATATATATATATATATTTAAAATTAAAAAATATAATTAAAAGAAAAAAAAAAATATAAGAAAAGGAAAATAATAAATGATAAAATACGTAATATTTTAAATTTTAATTATATAAGCATATACAACATAATCATAAAGAACTATATTTTAGTTATAATAAGTAAAAATAAAATAAAAAAATATACCATAATTTTTATATTTAAATAAAATAAAGCTTGATAAAACAGCTTTTGGGAAAAAGTTATTCGACACAATATAACTTTAATTATCGGATACAAATGTAGTAGATTAAACATTAAATTTGTTAAATAATTTAAAAGACTAAGCAACACGCGAACAAGAAGATGATACTGCTCATAATGATGAAATATAACATAATTGTAGTATTGAATTGAAAAATTTAGAAGACCAAATATAAACTGCATAGTTAAAATCTGAAGAATTATTATAGGAAATATTCGTAAAAAGTTAAGTTAGAGACTAGAAAAGTTTATAATTTTCCGAATATAATGAATAATATAAAGAATTATTAAAAAATAAGGAACGTTTATAAAAAGAATTAATTGTAATAGAATAAAACTGGTCAAACATTTAGGATGATTATGAAAAAGCTTCATATACTATAATGAGGGCTAAGGAAGTTATTCATGGAGAATTTAGAAAAGATCAATCTTTTATGTAAATCCCAGAAAAGAACTTAATTTAAGTTTCAAGACATTTTAATAATATAGCAGAAAATCATAAATTCAATAAGAAATCTTTAAATGGAATTTTTAAGGTATTATCTTAGATTTCATCTTCTGCTCCTATATAGGCTGATCCTTTGGCAGTATAAAAAATATTGGATATTTGTGATTAAATAATGGAAAAATTAGGAGAATCTTTAGAATAGGAAAAAAGAGTTTATAATTTAGAAAAAAAAAATAATTTAGATAGTTAAGAATTAACTTAACATCATTCAGATGATTTGAAAAGAAATCTTCTTGAAGTTGAAAGGGATATTGGGTTACTTAATTAGGCTATTAATTAAGCTTAAAGTGATAAAGATTTCTAAGATAGAATTATTAAAGATTCTAGTGAATAAAAATAATTAAGATAGGCTCTTTGCCATGATTAATAATTATAATATGAAGAAAGAAGCAAAACAAGGTATTTTTTATATTTATTATTTGTTTATTTATAATATTTATTTATTTTATTAGAAACGAAGAATTAAAGATTATAATTTAAATACTTGATATTCTTAAAGAATAAGAAAGTAGTTTAAAGAGATTTATTAATTCTAGATAATGAAGAGAAAAAAAAAAAATATGATTACTTTATGGAATTTTTTTTTATTTTTTTTTTTTTTTTATTTTTTTTTTTTTTTTATAAAAAAAAGAGATTAAAAATAAATATATAAGTTTAAAATATTTTATATATTTTATTTTATTTTATTTTTTTATTAAAAATATATAAATTAATTTAATATAAGATATATATATATATATATATTTTTAGCTATTATTTTAATTTTTAATATAATTTTTTTTTTTATAAATAAAAAAAAAAAGAAAAAGTTATAAATTATATATATTTATTTTATTATATATATTATTTAATATCTTATAAATTTTAATTAATAAATAAAAAAAAATCTATATAATTAATATATTTATTTCTCAAATTATATCTTTATTTATTTTTTCTTAATTATTTTGTCATCAATTATCATTAAGTTAGATTTTCATAAATTTCCTAATTAAAAAATAATATATAATACAATCTATAAATTTATTATATTTTACACATGATCAAGTAATTTTTGAATTTAAGGAACGTTTTTAGAAATGAACTTTTCATATAAATATTAAGATCCCTTTTTATTATTATTATTTTATAAAAACATAAAAATATAATTCGTTTATATATACATTATATTCATCATGATAAAACCATAATATAACTAATGTTCTTACTAACCAATATCCAGGTATCCTTTTAATTTAAATTATAAAAAATATAAAATAGCATATTTATTTTTTTATTACAATGGGATGAAACATAAATAACTTTCTACAAATAATAACATTCCAATATAAGTCCAAACACTTAACCATTTTTGTAAGTCTTCTTATTTGTTTTAGAAAGCTAATACTACCTAATATGTTGGGTAGATATATTAAATATATAAAGATGCAATACATAATAAAGTGCAAAGACAGCACAACATTTTTTTTATATTTTATTTTATTTATTTTATATTAAAAAAGGATTTATTTATTGCATAAGAAAATAAACAATATTTATATAAAATTTATAATAAGAAAAATAAAATAAATATAAAATAATATATATTATTTTGATAATAAATACTTAATTTAATTTAATTTTTTTATTAAAAAAATATTTATTATTGATAATAGATTTTTTCCTTTAAACAAAATATTTATATTTTTTTCTATATTATTTTGAAATAAATTAATTTTTGTATTGAATAATGATATTATATATAATTTTTTAAATATAAAAAATAAATAAAAAAAAATACTAACTTTTTTTAAAAAAATATATAAATAAAAAATAATAATAATAAAATTTAAAAAATTAACTCAACAAAAAATTAAAAATTAAACATAATTTTTTTAAAAAAATACTATTTTTTATAAAATATATATATATATATATATATATATATATATATATTTATTTAAATTATTTAAACTTGTAAATTACATCCTAAATAATCTATAGAAATAATAAAATAAAAAATAAGATAAAATGAACATCTTTGAAGTCAAAAAGCCTTTAATAGATCGATTTTATAATGCATTAAGCAATTTATTTTTATTAATGTTTTTAAAAGACAATGAGCGAAATCGTACTCGCGGATATTATGTAGCATTAGTATGTTTATATTTTATATAAATAAGTGGATTTATGTGTTCATTAACTGGGAAACAAATAAAAGATTAATATTTTTAATATTTATTTAATTTTTTTGAGTATTCTAGATTAACTCCTTTATTAAAAAGTATAAATAATTAATATATTCCTATTTTGATTTTGACTGCAATTTTAATTTATGAAATTTATATTATTTATATTATTTTGATATTGAGCAATGCCAATATTAAAGATGATTGTGATACTATAAAAAAAAAAGATTCCTAGATTGGGAGCCTTTAGATTTTTTTCGAACATTAAAAATGGATTTATTGTTTGATTAAATTTGATTTTATTTTTGGAGCGTATTTTTGCTCTTCTAGTGAAGGACCTGTTGTTAGTAGTAGATGTGAAAAAAACATTGTTTTTTATGGAGATGGAATACTTTATAGGTCTATTTATGTATTATTTTCGGGGTTTCTTTTACTTAGTTCAACTATTATTATTTTGGTTATTGTACTTGTATATCATAATCCTGAATTTAATGCAGTAAATTAATTAAAATCTAGATATTCTAGTCTTAAAACATTTGAGCCTTTATTAGAAATTTTATTAGTTTTGAGCTCTTATTTAGAAAATGTGAATATTGTTTTTATATTAGCACATACTTTTGGGTTTTTTTTAATTATTGAATATTTTATGCATTTTCCTTTAGTTGATAAAAATATAAGGTATATATTAATTATGTTTAAATTAATATTAATATTTTATAAAAAAAAATATTATAATTATATATTATATTTATTTTATTTTATTTTTTAAAAAAAGTGATATATATGGATGGCTTATTTCAGTTTATGAAGTTTTTATATCTCTTTTTCTTTTAAGGGAAAGTAGTAATGTTTTAAATGATTAAAATTATGTTATTATTTTTTTAATTTTAATTGTAATTGTTTATGGATTTTTTAAAACTATTTGGAATAACAAGTTTATATTTGCAATGACTATAAACCCTAATTAATTAGGAGGTTAAAATATATAAAATATAAGCAAAATTATATCTATAATATAGATTATCCTTATTCAACATGTCTTTATCTTGAAAAATTAAGTGAATTATATGAACTTAATTATACATAATCTAATTCTAAATTATTACTTTTTGGATCATTGTAGTTACATAAAAATTGTTGTAATATAAATGAATGTCCTTGTAAAAATGAAAAATTAAATAGTTAAGCAGGAGAAGAGAAATAAACTATTTCAGGAGGAATGGTTATTGATTTAGGTAAAGATATTAAAATAAAAGGTGTAGATTTTTCAAGAATTTGTTAAAATGAAAAATTATTTGAAAAATGGTTTATGTCTTTTATTGATTATTAATTTGAAACACTAATAGCTCATTTAATTAAAAAAAATGAAGAAACAATGGTTTAAGTAAAAATTAATATAAAAAAATATATAAATATATAAATATATAAATATATAAATATATAAATATATAAATATATAAATATATAAATATATAAATATATAATTAATTAAAGGAAGTTTGCCTCAGATATTGGTTTTTTCTAATTAAATTTAAGAAAAATTAAATTAAAGCTTTATACTAAAATAAAGTTATGACAACTTTAATAAAAAATAAAAATACATTTTTTTCTACTGTTGAAAGAAGTCTTACTAATTTAATAGAAAATAGATTAAAGGAAAGAGATAAAGCATATAGTTATTCTTATAATTAAAAAGATAGGAGCAACGTTTTATTATATAATATAAAATATTTATTTAAAATTTTAATAATATATTTAGGCTTTTAATAATATAAAATTTGAAAAAATGGTTCTATCTGAATCAAGTAAAGACGTCCTTAAGAAATTTCTTGGAAATTTAATTAAATAAAAAATTGAGTTAATAGAAAAAATGATTAAAGGTTATACTTCTATTAATATTATGAAATCTGATATTATTAATTTATTAGAAAAAGTTAATTAATAATTTATTCTATTTTATTATAAAAAATAATGATAAAAAAAGATTACTAATGTAGAAAACGGTATGTAATAAATGATACAAGAACATAACGAAAATATTTATTTTATGAAAATGTATGCTTTAATAAAATCTTTTATTGTTTTCGATCCAATAACTACCCGAAAAATAGAAAATGACTTATAAGATTTATATAATAAAGATAAAACTGTTGATTCTAATACTATTACTTCTTTAACTGTATTATCAGGAAATGTAGGAAGTGTGATTGCAAGCTTTAAAAGCGAAAAAGACTCTGGTATAATTCTTAAATATAGTGAAAGAATTCCTTAAATATTTGGTTATCAAAGAGGCGAATTTCAATTAAAAGTTTTTTTTTATATTCTATTATTAATTATATATATATAAAAAAGAACAAAGTAGTTGATTTAATACCTGATTGTATAGCTGTTTTACATGACTCGTTTTTATAAAGACTTATATAAACTGGAATTGCAAAAACTGTGAGAAGCTATAGGACTATGTTTGCAAAAAATAGCAATGGATTTATTTTCCTTTGTAAGCTTTTTATTAACTATTATTTCCTAATATAAGAAGATTTTGTATTTTCAGCCATGATTATTAAAGTCTAAACTTAAAGCCATTTTATTATACTTAATGATTCAGGATATATAGAAGATTTGTCTTAAGGATTTGTAGAAATTATGGGGGCAACAGGTATTGATATATCTTATTTGAAATAATGCCATATAGGTTTATATTTAAATTTTAATTTAATTAAAAAAAAAAAGGAATTTTTATACCATAATTTTTGGATTTTATCGAAAATTATAATCCTAAAGAAGATTATGCTTTTTTAAAATTTAGAACTGATTTTCCTTAAGGTATTTATTAAAAATATATATATATATATATATATATATATATATATATATTTATATATATATATATCTATAGATATTAACAATTTCGTTACTTAATTTTTGAATCATCATAAGAGCTTTTATAAAAAATGGAATGTTGATAGAAATACTTGGAAAATAAATTTAAATACTTTTATTAAAGGTAGAAGGGCTAATTGTTAAAGCTTTGAATCTGTAATAAATATTAAAATTGAAGAATTTGAAGGTATAAAATAAACTGTGAGGCTGTTTATTGTAGAAGTTGAAAAACTACTCCCTTGGGATGAAGTTAATATGTCTTTGAGTATGAGTAGTAGAAATACAAACAAAAGTTAAAAAAAAAAGGAAGAAGAAGCATTAAATTCATAATAAAACTATCTATAATCTTAAGATTTTTAATAAAGTTAAGACTTTTAAAATTATATATTACCACAACCTTCTACAATTAGAGATGAAAATGGAGAAATAAAAAATGTTCCTAATGAAAACATACATACAAATGTGAATTTGCAAACTAATTATTTACTAACTACATAAACAGATGATGATAATAAACTTTTTACAAAAGAATAATTTTAAAATATGTAAAAAATAAACGAGAAATAAGGAATAAAAAATAATGAAAAAACCCTCTAAAATTAAACACCATTATAAGAAGAAAACGAGCTTAAAAATGAAGAAAAATAATCAATGTTTAAAAGCCAATATTATAAAATATCTGAATAACAAGAGTAATTTAATCATGATAACTAAGATGATAAATCTAGTGATGAAATATAAGAAAAAGAATAATAAAAAAGGATTGAATTAGATTCTAATGAAAACAATATATAGAATTAAAATGATAATGTAAAAGTATTAAATTAATAAAACAATTAGCATATATATCAGTAATCTTAATCAAATAGTATTAATAGTAGTGAAACATCTATAATAAAATAAATTGTTTTTAGTTCAGAAAATTTATAGACTCCACTTTTTTTAAATATTCTATATTCAGTTTTTTTTTTTTAGTTTATTGTATTTATTGGAGTCGTTATTATTCTCACTATTACTATATCTTAATCTTTTACGGACTATACTGCATCTATGAATGAAATGGGAAGATGCGCTAAATTATTAGTTCCGATTTCTTAGGCTTTAATTACTTCGGATTTTTTGGTTCTATATAATATGTAAGTGCTATAATAGTATGATTAAACACCTATATTTAAAAATTTCATGATAGATCATGCAAAAGATGGGTATTAGGATTTTGTTTATGCAATATTTAGTTTTTTAAATAAATCTGTAATATATAATTATTAGAATAATTTTTTCGATTATCAACTCGAAGCTTAAATTAAAAGTGATAATAAATAATAATATATAAATTTACCGTTTACTGAATTTCTAAAAAAAGCTGGAGAAAGTCTTTATTAATTGACTCTAACGTAAACACATAATATAATAGATAATTAAAATACATAGAGATTTTTATTAACTAATAATATCAAATAAATGTATACTTTAATACATACAACTGAAATGGAAATTTCAAAAGATTTAGATACTCTAAAATAATCAATTATAGATACGAATATTATAAGTGTAATTTAGCTATATTATTAATAACATTATCTTTTGGATTTATATATCCATCATATAAAACAATGAAATTTAATACAGAAAGAATACTTGTAGTAATTGCAAGAATGACAGATGATGAAGCAGAAAATATAGTGGTAAATAAATTATTTTATAATTAATTCAATATAAAATAATTAATTAATTATAAATAAATATTTATATATTAATATATATAAATATATATAATATATATATTATATATATATATTTATATATTATATTTAATATATTTTTATATATATACAATTTTCTTTAGATAGGTTTATAGTTTATCATTCAATAGTTGAATTCTATTAATGATGATTATTTACATATTGATTTTAGTAATTATAATAATAGAGAAGAATAAATCAATTAATCTAATTAGGGATAGTAAAAGAAGAGCAAAAAACAAAGAAAAAATAATTATTTAGCTGAAAGAATTGGTAATCTTTAAATTAATTTTAACACGTTTTTCTACATTCTAATGTTTTTATGTTTACTTTCTACAGGTTTTTTTTTATCAGTTTTTGGTTTTATGCAATAGTTTCCTAATACTTTTGGACCTCCTTAAGAAAGATATAGGAAATATTTAGAGTCATCTTTATAGTTATCTACTTTGTTTAGCACTCATAATGTAATTCTGTTAAATTAATATTTTACTTTAATAAATAATGGTGTATCTATTATATAGGAAAATAAATAATAAGGTTTAAATTTTTTAAATAGTTCTTTTATTAATTTTAAAAGAAAGAATTAAAAAATTTAAGAGATGATCTTTTACTCATTACATCATAGTTTTTTACTTTTGATTATATTGATATTTCTTTAGAAGGTTCAGGAGAAAGTTTTAAATAGATTATTTATGAAATAAATACTGGAAATACATGTGATTAAAAATATTTTAGGTAATAACATCGAGATATTTGTATTGAGAATCTATAGGGATTATTTAAAAGGTAATATAAAAAAAAAGCTTATAATTTATATAAATAATAATATATTAATTAAAAAAAAATTAAATTACAATTAAACTTAAAATACACATAAAAAAAAAAAAAATTATAAAAATATGTATATATATATATATATATATATAATATATAAATATATTAATTTATTATATTTATTTTAAAATAATTTTAATTTATTTATTTTATTTAAAAATATATTTATTTATATACTATTGTCATTTATAATTTTTTTTGTATTTTATATTTTTAATTTTAATTAAATTTTTTTTTTTAGAGGTTTAACTAATTGTATTAAAACTATTTTAAATACTGTTTCTATTTAAATTATAACAGATAATAATATATTAGCATATTAAAAATTAATTTAATCTTAAGAATATTAATAAGTGATAGTTTAATATTAAATGATTTTGCATATTCTCAAGAGTATGATAGAATTGTTTGAAAGTGAAAATATAAGAATAAAAGATACTTTTTTGTTAATTTTGTAGTACATTTTAATTTTTGGGTGCTTTGTATATGTTATTGCTTTCTTTTTGATTATTTTTTTTTGTTTAAGAAAACTTAAAAAAGACTATTTGCTTATAAAAAGAGCTATATAACTTATTCCTTTTAAAAGACTATTAGAAGGTATTTTTTTTTAATTTATATTTTTTTCATTTTTTAAATAGATTAAATGACTTTGTTTTTATTAAAAAAAATTCTATTAATTTGAAAGTAATTTATGTTTAAAATCAAAAAATAATACTTAAATATTAATTGAATTTTATTTTAGAATTTAACATTTATAATAAAAATATAAAAATATGTATTTATTAATTTTAAAAAAATTATGTATTAATATTATTTTATAATAAAAGTTAAATTAGTTTAATTTTTATAATTTATTTATAGAAATTTGCATAAAAAATTATATATTTTCTAATATTAAAAAAAAAAAATATTTTATTAATTTAATTAAATTATATATATAATATTTTATTTCTATTCTATAATTTTTAATTATGTATTTTTATATAAATAAATAATTAATTTAAAAAAAAAATATAATAAATATATAAATGTTAATAAAAATAAAAAAAAAAATATTTAAAACTTATAAAAATAAAAAAAAAATAATAATAATTATAAATTTAAAATATTTAAAAAAACTAATTCTTTTACAAAAAAATATATAACATATATAATTACACAAACAAAATTGTTTAACAAAAATAAAAATATTAAATAATACATTTATATAAAATATATATATAAATATATTTATATTTATATTTATATTTATATTTATATTTATATTTATATTAATTATTTTTTAACTTTTTTTAATTTATATTTTTTCTTATTATATTTATTAATTTTTTTAAAAGATATTTATTTTATAATTATTTATTCTTTATATATTTTATTAAATATATTTTTTTTTTCTTTTTAAATTATATTTTTTTTTCATTCATCCATAATATTTATTTTTATTTAATTATATCTATCATTTCTTTTTTTAATATTTTATTTTTCTATTTTATTGAAAAATTAATTAAAAAAAATTATATTTATTTTTATATTTAATATATTATTAATATATTTTTATTTTATATATATTTTAAGCCTATAATTTTTATCCTCAAATAAAATTTTATTTAAAAAAATCAAATAAAAAATCATATAATTACTAATTTAAAAAAATAAAAAATGAATAAAAATATTTTCTCTTTTAAGTTTATTTATAATATAGACTTTTTTCGTTTTTATTGGCTGTTTAAACTCGCTTAATCATATTTTTCTGTTTTTTATTTGATATTATAAAAAAAAAATTAAATAAGATTGGTATATACAATTTCTTATTAATCTTTATAACTATACTATTATTTTTATTTTTAAATAATATAATTATTTTTTATTTAAAATAAATTCCAAAGATTTACTTATTCATATATATTAATTTTATTGTATACAAATAAAAAAATAAATATAGGGGAAGAATTAAAATGCTTTTTTATAAAAATATTAAATCATAATAATTTTTCTTTATATATTAAAAAAAAATATATAAACTTATATAATATATTCTTTTATTGCATTTTATATTCCTTATTAGTTAATATTAATTTAAATCAAAATATATGGATTTAAAATACATTTCTATAATATATTATATTTTCAATATACTCATATCAAGACAATAAGAAATCTATTATGAGTATTTTTTTTTATTCAAAAATAAACTTAAATTAAAAATAATAAAGAAGATTAATAATAAAGCTTATATATAAATATAAAAATGTATAAAAACAGTAATTTTTTTATTAATAGATTAAATATAATTTAGTTAAATTAAAAAAGGATGTATTAATAAATAATTATACTGTATTTTTTTTATTTTTTAAAAAAGGAAGTGACTAATATGTTTTTTATAAAAGATAATCTAATTTTTTATTTAGGTTTAGGGTATTTATGAGTATATTTTCCCGGATTTATGAATTTATAAAAAAAGAAATAGGAATATATAAAATTATAAATAATTGAAATCTTTTGGTATTTTTATTACTTCGAAAGAGTAAATATAAATTAAAGTTTATTTATGTATATTATTTTATTTATTTTAATTATTGCTTATTGTATTATATATTTTTCATTATTGTCATAAAGACAAGGTTTTAATATAATAGAGTAATATATATGAATTTAAATACATAAAAAATTAAGGATTAGATATTTATTTAGTCATAATTTGCCAAAAAGAAGGTATTAAAGGATTTTATATGGAATTAAAAGCTGATATGATAAGGATTTTAAATGCAATTGCTATTACTATTATTTTTAATGGATAATATAAATAAAATCTAGAAAATATGTATGATTCTTAATTATAATAAGAACAATAATTATTTAATTGATTTATATTTATAAAAAAAAAATGATAAAATTTTTAATAATAAAAATATTTTTTTCAACAAGTTTATATTTCCTATTCTAATATTCTTAATGCATTTTAAAGTAATTGAAAATCTGGATTTATACAATTTAGAAATTCAGGTTCTTCTATAAATCCTAAATTTAGTAAGCTTTCTCTTCCACCAAAGCATTCACAAACTCTTTATTAAAAAGCTTTGTTTTCAAGCTTTATTTTTCTATATTTATCTTCTGTGGGATTATTAACAATATTATCTTTTATATTAAATTTAAAAAAACAATTCTATATATAATAATGTATTTATATTTATATATAAAAAATATAATATGCATATTTAATAAAAAAAAAAAAATATATATTATAAAAATTAGTACTTATATAAACTTATATTGTTTTTAAACAAATAGAAGCCTTATCTAAAAATAGATTTCGTGGCTATGCAATTTTAATTTATTTTAATGCAATTTCAAATTTTTCAATTTAAGTAGGTTCTTTTTTTTCAGATTATGCAGGTTTAGATAAAGTATCAAACTTTAAAAATATATATATAAATAAATATATATAAATAAATATATATAAATATATATATATATTTATATATACTATATATATAATCTTTTTAAAATTTATATATTTTATACTTTTTTTCCAAATCTTTCTTCTTTATCTCTTTTTAATTATTCAAGTATTCTTTATTTTTCTATCATGTCTTATTCTTTTTATTTTTTTGCTTACAAAGCTTCTTGTTTTTGTTTCATTTCTTGAATTTCCCTTTATGCATTTCCCATGAGTTTATTAGATTTAATTCTATTTCTTTCTCTTTCAATTTAATCCTATTATTCTCTTTTTACTCTTTCTTGTCTTAATTTTTCCTATAGTTCTCTTGCTTTTTATTTGGCTTCTTATTCTGTTAATTTTGGTTTATTTTCTTATTATTAAATGCTAACTAAAAGTTCTTCTTCGAAATCTTTATTTTCCTTATTTTATTCTAATTTTTATTGAAAAAAAAAAAAAAAAAAAATATTTACCAATCCAATCTAAAGCAGATTCTATAGATTTTTATTAAGTCATAAATAATGCTTTTTCTGCTATATTTTTTGTGTATCCTAATTCTTATACTTATTTAGATAAATTCTAGTCTACAAATTATGATACTGATACCCATTATTCTTATGGTTATTATGTTTCTGGTTGTTTTTATTATGTTTCAATCTATTAATTTTCTGTATTTTCTTTATTATCTTCCTGTTTGCTTTTTTCATTTTGTGCTTCTTCTAGTGACATTTTTATAGCGAGATCATCATAGTATTTGTCTAACCATTCGATGTTCTTTTATATTTCGTGTGTGTTTGTGGCTTGAATTGCCTTTCTTGCTATTTCTTCTTCATGACCCATTGATATTAGTTGTGAGATAGCTTCTTCCATTTTTTTTTTTTTTTACTTTTTTTCTTTTAATAATAAAAAAGATTTTTAATTCCTTTTTTTTTTTTTTTATTGTGTATATTTATTTATTTTATAATGAATAAATTTTGTTTTAAATATTTTTTTTTTATTACTTTTTAATATATTTTTGAAAGAAATAGAAAATTATTAAATAATTTTTATAAATATAAAATTAAAATAAAAATTTAAATCAAGAAAAAATAAATTTTTAATATATATATATATATGTATATATTTTCTTTTTTTTTTAAAAAAAAAAATGTTATTACTGTTTTTTTCCATTTAAAATAATTCTTAAATTTTTTAAAAAATACAATAACACTAATAAAGTATAAAATTATAATTTACAATATGTTAGACACATAAATTAATTTCAAAAATTATAAATTTCATAATTTGTTAGATATAAATTTGTTTAAGATTAAAATAAAATAAAAAAAGAAATTGTAAAAATTTAAAATATATGTTATTTAATATATAAATATATATATACTTTTAAAAAAAAATTATTATATATAATAAAAAAAAATATATTAATCGCAAAAATAAAAAATATGGGATATCAAAAAATAAGTAAAGAAAAAGCAGAATAAAAAAAGCTAAATGTATAACTAGAAAAATAAACAAATCTAAAAAATTAAAATAAGGAAATTAATATTAATAATATTTAAGAATTTTATTAAAAAAAAATAAACTCATAAGATATAAGATTAACTTTAAAATCTTATTTATTGAAAGTTTTGGATATTATTCTTAATGATAATGATTAATAATAATTATATTTATTAGATATAAGAAGATAATTAAAAAAAGTAAACGCTTCTTCATTTAAGCATTTATCTCCTTTTATAAAATTACTCAATGAGTTTTATTAATTAGCAGTAGATAAATAAATTTCACATTTTTAAGAAAGCGATTCTTATTTAAATTAAAGCATGCAAATTAATAATATTGATAATATTAATAATAATACAGAAAGAGAAGTGTTTGAAAGAATTTATTAAAGAGAAAGTTTTTTTTCAGAAAATAATCAATTTGACAATAATGTTAATAGTACTTATTATATATTATAAGATAGACAGAATACGAATTATTTAAATAATTTTCAAGAATGATGTTTTTTAAATATAAAATATTTAATGTATATTCTAATTTCATTATTTTTAAAATATAAATATATAAATAAAAATAGATATATATATATAAATATATATATATATATATATATATATATATATATATATATTATATATATATTTATATTTACGTTTTTTATTTTATTTTCAAAAAAAATATTTGAATATATATAAAATATTATTACTTAACATTCTTATTATTTTTATATAATAAAATTATATATATATATTTTTTTTTATATATATTTATATACATATATAATTTCTAATTAAAATATTATATTATAATGGATGAATACAACGATTTATTTGAAAATGCAATTAAATTAAAAACTTCAGAATCATAAAAAAAGCGTAAATATTTCGAAAGTCTTCCTTAATTTATAAAGCATACTATATTTTATTACGAAAAATATGCCTATGTTATTTATTAGCTTCCAATTTAGAGATATTTTGTATCTGATCTTTTAAAATAAGCTGGAAACTAAAAATTTTAACAATAGAAATATGCTGAAGCTTCATAATATTATGAATAAGCAATAACTATATTTCGATATATAAAAAATAATAAGCAGAATTGGAAAAACTAAGGATTTAGTGACGAAGATCTTGAATTTATAGATGATAATGGTAAATCAGAGAAAGAAAAAAAGATGATAAAAAATTTAAAAGTGATTATTTATTAAAATATTTGTCTAACTTATTTAAAATAAACACATTTAAAAGTTTAATATTTAAAAGATGCGGAAAAGGCTTGTTTTGAGGCTTTAAAAATTGATTGTAAAAGTTCAAAAGGTTACTATTTGCTGGCTAAAACTAATTTAATTAATGAAGATTATGAAAATGCTATAAAAAATTATTAAAAAGCCCTCGAATTAAATAATAATAATTAAGTTATTTTATAAGAATTAATTAAATGTTAAAATATATAGACGAAAATTAAGATGGATGAGAAAATTTTCGTTTAGAATATTTTTTAATAAGATAAAGACGGAAAAAATAGAGTTTTTTTAGATTTTTTACTGAAGGAAAATCTAGAAAAATTATTCGAAATTAATAATTAAATTTAAGTTGTTTATATAAGTTTTTTTTTTTTTTAAAAAAAAAAAAAAAAAAAAAATTATAAAAGGTGCATAAAGATATTTAAAATTTGAATATTTTTATATAAAAATAAGAAAAAAATGAAAAAAAAAATGAACTTTATAAATAATTAATAAAGCTTTAAAAAATAGATATAAATAAACCGTGCAAAAAATTGGTTTAAATAGCAAATTAATATTAGGTAAATATTTAAAGTAAGGAAATCAGGAAATAAATAAGAAACATATAAGAAAAATAAATGAATGAGTTAAAAATATAATTAGTATATGAGGAAAAAGGGAAAAACTAATAATAATAAAAAGAATAATAATAATAAGAATAATAATAATCATAAAATATAGTAATAAATAATTATATAAATAGTTATGTTAATAATGTAAATTAAGTAAATAATTATTATGTAAATTCTAATAATAATGAATAATAATAAAAAAAATCAAGAAACATTAACCAATAGAACAAAAGTTAATAAAAAGAAAAAAATGAAAGCAGTACAAACCTAAAATTAAATAGTTAAATTGTTGCTTTAATTATTTTCATTTTAATTCTTTCTTAATTATTAAATTTATTAATTGATTATTTTTCATGAAAAAAAAAAAAAAAAAAAAAAAAAGAATAAAACGAAAAAAAAAAAAAAAAAAAAAAAAATTATAAAAAAAAAAAAAAAAAATATTTATATATATATTATATATTATTATTATATTTTTCAATCCCAATATTTAATTAAACCATCCCACCCACAAGTTGCTACTTTAGATTATTCAATAGGATGCCATCTAACATCTATACAAACCCCATCATGTGCCTAAATAACTCTATAGTTTTTACAAGTTTTCCAATCCCAGAAAAAAGCCCTTCCCTCAGCATCACCTGAAGCTAAAAATTATCCATCTGGTGAAAAGTCTATTCCTATAGCATATCCTAATGAAGAATGTCCTTAGAAGACTTTCTTTCTATTTAATCTAAAATTTCCTCCTTTAGTATCATATATTTATACCTATCATTTTTTATTTTAAATAAAAAGTAAAAAATTTCTATACTTTATTATCAGAACATTAACCAGCAAAAAACTTCTCTTAAGGGTGAATAACTGTATTAGTAATAGCCCTCATATCCGGTTCTGCAAGATGCTTGATGACTACAGGAATACCAAACTCCCATAAAAAGACTTTCTTATCATCTGAACTTGATACAAATTTTCTTCCTGCATCTATAAATGTGACTGTGTTTACAGCTCCTAAATGTTCGTCATATACTTAGGTCCTATTTCCACTTCGGACATCATATTAGGAGATTTTTTTATTAGAAGAAGCTAAAAGAAATGCATGTTATTTACTTTATTCGGGATTAAATCTGGCTTAATATGGGAATTTTTTTATATTAAAAGTCTTTATTGCCTTTCCGGTTTCAGTATCCCAATAAATCACATTCTTATCATATGAACAAGATAAGAAATGTAAACCATCATTTGTAAATTCAATATCTCTTACTGCTTAATTATGTCCCATATATGTTCTTACACATTTCTTATTATTTATTACATCCCATAATTTTACCTTTTAATAGTTAATTTTTTTTTTAATTAAAATAAAAGATGATTATAATTAATTTTTTTTGTTAATTAAAGGAAACAAGAAATTTTAAAAAGTAATATATCATATAAATAATTTTTTTTGTTTTACTGTAGTATCTAAAGATGCAGATAATAATAAATGACCAAATTTGGGAAAAAATCTTATCGCTTAAACTCCTTTTGTATGACCAGTCCAACAATGAACTTATTTTTTGGGAATATAACACATATGTTCTCTTTATTTTAAATCTACGGGTGGATGGACGAAACTTCTACCTTTATAATCATAGAATGGAATAGCGTCATGGAATATAGATGTTGCATCATTCTTTTTTTCTTTTTTTTTTTTTTATATTTTTTTATTTTACTTTGTTTTTTTAGGCTTTTTTGGTTTTTTTAGAATCTTCGTTATCTTCAGTTTCGGAATTTTCCTTTTCTTTATTTCTTTATTATTCTTCTTTTTGTTTTTTATTTTCTATTTCTTTAGTCTCTAATTTAAGTTTCTCTTCTTGGGTTAATTCGGGTTGTTTTATAACTTCTCCTTCATAATTTGCCCAAGGTCCTTAGTAATTTCCGTTTGTAACAGTTCCTGATTTGAATCTTTTTTTCTTTAAATCCTTGCTTCTTACTTTTTCTTCTTTTGATTAAGAAACAAAAACTCCCTAATTATCTAAATGGGTTGGATCAATGGATTATCCATGGAAGATTTTTTAAGCTAATTCTGGAAATTTGGAATCATTTACAATTAAACGGTTTTCTTCTGTTGTAGGATCATATGCATATCCTCTATTTTTAAAATTATAAAATTGCTGGTCAAAACTATAACTATTTATATGACATATGTCTACTTTTCCAGATGTATGATGAGGTCGGGTTAATTATTATTCTATTTATTTTAATTCTTGGAGTTATTTATTTTTTAATTGGTTTTGCTCTTCTTAGAGTTTAAGGGTACTTACGTCTGGGTTTATTTTCTATTTATGGTTTTATTTATTAATTTCGGATTCGGATTCACTATTGCTGTAATCAACAAACATGTTTATTTTTTGTGTCTAATATATAATTTTTTAAAGATTATTTATATATATTTTTTTTATATATTTAACAAAATAAAAACTAAGGTATATAATTTTTTTTTTTTTTTTCAAATCAATTTATTAAATATAATTTTTTTTATATTAAACTATAATAGATTATTAGATAATAATGAAAAAAAAAAAAAAAAAAGTACCAATAAATAAAATCTCATTCAGAATAATTCATATTATCAACTACAGGCTTGATATCTTAAATGGGATGACTTTCGAAGATTTCAATAACTTATTTAACAATACTAACTTCTTCAGAACTAAATAAAATAAAATATGTATATAATATATATGTATATATAATTACAGATTTTCCAATTCTTTAGATAAATTATTAATGGAATCATTGCAAGCATTGAAAGTACTTTCTAGTCTTTCTTATAAAATACGTAAATCTTCAGAAATGACTTCTTTATCATGAGTAGCTTAGTTATGATTAGATTATAAGTTTGATATTTCGGAAGTGATTTTAAGGATATTAGCATGAGCATTATCTCTTTATAATTCGAAGTTTTATTTTTTTTCACTGACTTCGTTTTGTCTCTATTTTTCTGAATTTTCCAAAAATTATAATGTTTCAATTTAATGAGCTAATAAATCGTCAATTATAGTAATAACAGTATTAACTTTAACTTAATCAGCTAAAATATCAACGTTTTGGGACATATTCATTAAAATATTGAAGATCTATTTATTAGATGGGGATAAAATTTTGGAAAAACTGGTATGATGAGCTTTTAATTCAGCTAAGACATTTCCTGATTTTTAAAGGAAAGTTCCTCTTTATAATTAAGAAATTAATCTTCTTGCTTCTTTTAAGGCTTCGGCCATATTGTTAATATGATCTCTTTATAATTCATAAGCGTGTTTTCCTTCACTGTCTTATTCTAATAATTCTCTTAATAATTATACGGCACGGGATTCTGAGTCTTTTTCTGATTATAATTCTTCTTTTTTTTCAGATAATTGACTTTGTAAAGTAGGAATTTAGATGTTTAGGGCTTCTAATTTTTCTTTTTTGGATTCTAATTGTTCTTTTAAAGAGTCTAATTCAGTCTTACACCAGTCTTATTTGGCTTAGAGATCATCTGAGGTCTATTCGAATTATTTTCTTAAGGTTTCGTCGAGTTCGTGGAGTAATTAGAGGATTCTGTTAACGATGTTATCAGTATTTTTGGAAGAAAGTTCTAATTAGATGGCGGTGAAAACGTTTTTACCGAAACGGCTTTTGGATAACTTTTTTTTTTGAAATATTTAAATAGTAAATCGTTTTATTTGTTTACTTATTATATAATGTTCTTAGTTATGATTCTTTTTTCAACAACCATAGTGGCGTTTACTATTAATAAAATTAAAGATAAAGCAATTAATACTTTCATTTTTATTATATTTATTGTATTTATTTTTTATTATTTCTTTTTTAATAATTATTATTATTTTCTCTTAATTATAATTTTTATTTTGTTTTAAAAAAGTATTAATTTTCAAAATTGTTTTTAGTTTTTTATAAAAAATATTAATCGTTTTTAACATTATTTTTTATTCGTTTTAAAAATTAGGATTTTTTTAAAAAACGAAAGTTTTTTTGTTAAATAGATTGATATATATTTATTTTAATTTTTCTTAAATTTAATTATGTAAATTTTAAAAAGAAAATATATAATTTAATTTAACAAAAATATATATAAATATATATTAATTAAAATAATTATTTTTATATAATATATTATTTATTATATATATATATATATATATATTTATATATATATATTTTTTTTTAAAATATATAATTATATCATATTATCATATTATATAGCATTATTAGATTTATGTATAAATTTTTTTCATTTTTTTTTTTTTTTTTATTTTGTTATTTTTTTTTTATATTTTTTTGTCTATATTTTATATTTCACATTGAATTAAATTTTATCTGAGTTTCTATCAACCATTATAATATTTTTTTTATTTTAAAGAAATTTTATTATTTTTTTATAAATTTTTTTCTTTTAATTTTATAATAATTATATATAATTTTATATATAAATTAGTTATTTTTATTTTTATATTTTTTTTTTCGAAAATAATTAATTTAATATACTTACTTATATATAAAATGATTTTTTTTTTATGATTTTTGTTATTAATTCAATTATATTTTTCTAAATAATATATAATTATCAATTTTGTAATTATTCTTATTAAATATATCTTATATATAATATTTAAATAGTTTAAATTACATAATTGAATATTTAATAAATAAAAATATTTAAATATTCAATATTATTTTATAAAATTATAAATCTGAGAATCTTAAAAATTATTTAATCAATTTATTGTTAAATATATATTCGATAAAAATTAAATTTTTATTAATATAAATTTTTTATTTTTTAAATAAAAATTCTATTATTTCAAATATTTTAATAAAATAATAATATATTGTAATCTTTTTTTTTACATTTAATCATATAAAATTTTAAAATAATAAAAAAGTTTAATTTTTCTTATTTTAGATTAGATATTAATAAAAATATTTAATTATATTAATTTATAATTAAATAAAAAATATATATTTATAAAAAAATGTTTTTTTGATAATAAATATTATCTATATTTTTATTTATATTAATTAAAAATAATAAAATCAAAAATAAAAATAAATTATAATTATAATTATGAGTTTTTCTAATCAATTATGGGATAAATTTGAATATTTATTGAAATTATAATCTGAAAATATAAATATATTTGAAGATTTAATAGAAATTTTAGAAGAAAGGGCGAATGCAGAATAAACATATGCAAAAACAATGGAAAAAATAACATTATAAATATAAAAAATTATAAACAGGAAAATCGCAGTAAATAATAAATACAAAAAATAAAATAGTTTTTTTATAAAAAAAATATAAAAAGAACATTTTACACAATATTAGGTGGTTTTAAAACAAACATTATGAATAGAAGTGAATAATCACGTAATTTAAGTGAATAAATATAAACAGAAATAACAGTAAAATATAGGAAAATATTAAATGAGTAAAAAACTTTATTAAAAAAATTCGCATAAGAAGGTTATTAATAAGAAAAAGAAATGAAAAGTGCATAAGATGTTTTAGAAAAAGTATATGTATATTATTATATAAATAAATTAACAAAAAAAGGCATGGTAAAAAGTATAAAAAAAACAGAAGAGTTAGAAAATTATCAAATAAAAGATAGCATAAATTAAATATTTAAAGAAATAGAACAAGAAAAAATATAAAAATTATAAAATAAGTAATTATTTTATATTTATTAAATAATATATAAAAAAAATATTCATATATTATATATATATATTTATCGATTTTCATATATATATTTATTTATTTATTTACATATTTATATATTTATATATTTATATTTTTATATTA